CTCTCTCTCTCTCTCTCTCTCTCTCTCTCTCTGTTGACTTTGTTCCATGTAGGTGCTACAGGAATCTGAAATAAAGTACCGCTAATGAGGAAATAAAAAAAATTGGTCTAAATGAAGAACAATTTATTTCAACGGAGTCAGCCAACCTCTATTTGGTGGCAGTTGGCGGTCAGGCGCCACTTGGAGACACAGAGGGAGCTCACAGTCTGGAGGGGAAAACACACTGATCGCTGCAGAGAGGTGGTGGCATTTCAGTGGCATTTTAGAAGAGGAATCCGGGTTTGTCAGGTGGGAAAGGGGGAGAAAGGCCTTCCCAGCAGAGGGAACAGCAAGTGCGAAGACATGAGGCACGGAGTTTGGCAGGCTCACGGAGCGCCAAGCCCGAGACAGCTCAGCTTAGGTGAGTGCCGATGGCCGCCAGATGGAGAAGGGTTGAGGGGATGAGTGAAGGTGGAAACGATTAAGAAAAAGTGCCAGTTATAAAAACAGTTAGGGATATAAAGTACAGCATAGGGAATATAGTCAAAAATATTGTAATAACTATGCATGGTGTTAGTTGAGTACTAGACTTATCGGGGTGATCACTTCATAAGGTGTATAAATGTCTAATCATTATGTTGTATACCTGAAACTAAAATAATATTATATGTCAACTGTAATTTAAAACAGATTTATAAAAAACATAGGTGAGTGTTGGGGGTAGTGACTCTAAAGACATTAAACTTGGTGATAATAAATTCTTTAAGTTACATTAATTTGTCAAGTCATCCATTTTTAAAAATTACTTTTTAATATATCTTTATTGATTTAGAAAGAGAGGCACAGAGAGAGAAACACTGATGTGAAAGAGAAACATTGATCAATTGCTTCCCATACCCACCCTGACTGCAGATCGAACCCAAAACCCAGCACGTGTCTTGACCAGGAATCAAACCAGCAACTCTTCGGTGCGTGGGAGGGTGCTCAACCAACTGAGCCACACTGGCCAGGGCTCAAGTCATGTGTTTTTATTTTTTTAATTTACAAATGTCTTACTCAAAGCAAGAACCTTCTAATTATCCTGACCTGAGAACCTAGACTTCTTTCAGTGCACGTTCCCCATGACGGCATTGCAACTCTCGCTGCCTCCCCCCTTCCGCCTTGGTGCTTGGATTGACGTTGCTCACAGGGAGCTTATGTTGGGTGTCTCTGCTGGTTGCCAGGAGGCTCCAGGTAGAGGCTGTGGCCGCATCTATAGAAGAGGACCCAGGAGCTGCAAAAAGCTGAGATTTGCCTGAGGTAGAGAATTCCAAATAAGCTTTAGGATGAAAGTGGAAAGAAGAAAGCAAACTCTTCTGCCAGCATTTGTGCAAGAGATGCAAAAGAGAGTGGAAATTTGTAGAGGGAAAAAAAAATCATTTACTTCTTCTAGGAAAGGAAGAATCTGCTTAACAGGCAGAAAAGCCAGTCTCTTGTGTAGGTCTTTTCACCTGCAGGGAGGTAGGTGAGGTGTGGTTGTGCAAAATGTTTGGAATCAAAAGAATTGAAACTGAGAGCCACTCTAGGCTTCGCTGAGCCTCGGTTTCCTTGTCTGTAAAATGGGAGCATTACACAGGCTCTCATGCTTGGTGTGAGGTGCAATGAGGTAACGTGTACAAATGTTTCATAAACTCGAAGTGCCTTATACTTGCTATCAGAATCCTCCAGGTTAAAGCACAGAGTATCTTGAAACTTCATGGGAATAAAACAGTTAGGCAGCCTTTCCTAAAATAGCTCCCTCCTTTCCCCGATGCCTTCATTTCCAATCCCTATTGTGCTTTTTCTTCATAGCAGGTATCACAACCTGAAAATAAACTGTTTATTCTCTCTTGCCCTGCTAGACAGCCAGCCCCGTAAGAGCAAGACTCTGCTGGTCTTGTTCACCACTGGCTCTCCAAGTGCCCAGAGAAGGCCTGATGCATAAGCGGTGTTTAATGAATATTTATTAAAAGTTGAACGAATGCAAATGAATGCATAATCGGATTCTTCCAGGAGCAGGACAGCTGGATCTCAAATTTTGGTTGGTTTGTTTCAAATGCAAGTTCCCTGCTCCAGCACTGTGGGATTCTCATTTAGCAGAACTGGCTACTGAGTTTGCTATTTTTTAACAAGTGCCAGATGATTCTGTTGCAGGTAGTCACTTAGAAAGTTACTTTGAATCACAAATCTTGTTTTGAATCCAGCCTGCCACTTACTAGCTGTATGATTTCCGGAAGTAACTTCTTAACTTCTCTGAGCGGTTTCTTCATCTGTAAAGTAGGAATGACAACATCCTTGGGGAGTTGTTATGATAGTTAAATTAAGTGATGGATGTAAAGTTCTTGGCTTAAGGCCAGTTGTGCAGTTAGCTGCCATTGTTATTTTTATTGTCCTTCTTACGTTATCGCTAAGCCCTGGCAGAACTTTCTCCCTGGAGGATCACTCTTGGGAATCTCCGCAAAGTGTGGTCCCAAAGCAGCAGCACCACAGCACTGGGAGCCGGTTAGAAATGCAGAGCCTCTGCCCCACCCCGACCTGCAGAATCGGCATCCACATTTTGACAAGGTCCCCAGGTGATCTGTTTGCACATCCAAGTTTGAAAAGCACAGCTGAAAGTCACATGTACCGTGTTCTTCCTGTCTTTCATTTCAGAGTCAGCCCAGGAGGTTCCTAAGCCCGGCGTCCCAGAGGCCGAACCCTTGGCCGGCTCACTTGGGCTGCACCTCCAGCTGAGGACGTCAGGAGGAGGGAGTCCCTCACGGAGCCCGACTGAGCCCACGGCCTCTGAGCAAGGGGCTGTGCAGCCAGGCGATGGAGCCTCTCTCTGGCTTGCTCTCTGCTCCCGCCCGGGCCTGCTCCCAGCCAGCAGGGCCCTGCGTGGAAGGTAGGAGAAGCCCATCGCCCCGTGAGCTCCCCAATTCCAGCCTCACCGACCCCGACTGGTTTTGGGATGAGCATATTCAGGCAAAGAGGGCCAGAGTGGAGACCATCATCCGAGGCATGTGCCTGTCCCCTACCCCTCCGGTGCTCGGCCGTGCCGGAGCCAGGGGCAGCCCAAACTGCCCAGAGAAGACCCGGGAGCGGAAGAGGAAGCAGAGCCTTCCCATGCAGCAGGCCCCCCTGCACCCCGGCCCTGCCGGGAGCCTCGGCAGCAGGAAGGGGGGCCCTCGCATGAGGGAACAGCTTCATCTGCTGGAGCAGCAGCTAAGACAACTGCAGGAGCACATCCTGCAGGCCGCCGAGCCCGGGGGCTCCGCTCAGGGCCCTCGGAGTGCCAAGCAGAGGAATGGCTGTGGGTGTCGGCCCTGGGCTACGGACAGTGGCCACCACCAGGGTTCCAGTGGGGACATCTCTGGGGTGGAAAAGCACAGAGTGGCTGAGGTCGAATGCCAGCCCGAGGAACCCAGCTTCCTTCCTTCTGGAACACGAGCTTTGCTGGAGATTCTGAGGAAAGAATTGACCGGGGCAGTGTCCCAGGCTGTGGACTCAGTATTACAGAAGGTGCTCTTGGACCCACCACACAGCCTGGCTCAGCTGGGCCGAAGCTTTCAGGGGCTGGCCCCAGGGGGTAGAAGCGAGACTTCACCTGAGGGGGGTGCCTGTAAGGACCCACTTCCTTCGGTTGCCTTGCCCAGGAGGACCCAGGCCCAGGCTGGGAGCCCCGGAAACTTATCACTGGCCACCCCTCTGGACCCTCCTAGATACCCTGTCTCTCCAAGAACGATCTCCAAACCCTGCCAGGGCCCCCCAGCAAACTGTCCCTTGACCATGCCTTCCCACATGCAGGAACATCAGATTCTTGGCCAGCTCCTGGGTCACGGACCCCCTGGTCACTGGAGCAGCAGTCTTCCCCAGGATGCATCTTCCCAAAGTCACTCCCCCCCGGAGTCTGTCCTGCGACCCTGGGGAGCTGTCAAACTGCGGCCAGCGGTTTTGAGCCAGCAGCAGCACCCCTTGCCCTACGCTTCCACCTGTTTGGAAAAACTGCCCCTTCTTCCCTCTGTGAAGACGGAGCAAGGTGGCCTGCAGGCTGTCGCCGAAGTGCTTCCATTTTCTTCAGTCCACATATCCTTTACTAGTCATTGCAGTCCTCATTGTCACAGCCCCCAGAAAGAGGAGACCTGGAAGGGGGGAGGGGAGGTGGAGGGAGTAACTACCTGGCATGGGGAGAGCTTTGCTCTCTCGATGGCCTTCCTCATGTTGCTTCTGGGCCCTCCTTCCCTGTGGCTCACAGTTATTAGGCTCCTGAGAAAGGGGTGACCGCATTCTGGGATTTAAGGATGCTGGGAAGGAAGGTTCATTGATCTTGATGACACATCAGAGTCTACCACTAGTGACTTTTTGCTTTGCGTCTGAAAGGGTTTTGTTTGTTTTGAGACTCAGTGAGTTTCCAAAATTTGATAAATACCCTATAGAAGGAAGAACTCCATAATTTGGTTGTCAGCTGCCCACACACCTCAACAGAAAGGGTCAAAGGAATGACCTCATCTGAGGCATGGCTCCCCAACCTCTTGGTTCTGCAGACAAAAGGCCTGCACTGTCTAGGTAATTCATGAGGAAGATCTGAGGGACCAGCTACTTTGGAGGTAGATGTGAAAGGAGAAATTTTCCTCAGGGTCTAGACCTGAGGTGGTTGGAAGGGGGTAAGGAGGCTTCAGTTTAAGGGACAGCTCCTAAGCTGCAGCTGAGAGGACTTAAGCCTGGGGTTGGGCATATGGAGAGAGGGGAGACCCCCCGCCCCCTGCAACCTCCACCCCAGGGAAGGCTGAGGGGCCAGGCTGGTGTGCTGGGGTTTGGGCCTTATTGCAGCACCTTTAGGCAGACTCCTCTCTCTCTCTCTCTCTCTCTCTCTCTCTCTCTCCCTCTCTCTCTCTCTCTCTTTTTAAAAATATATCTTTATTGATTTCAGAGAGAGGGAGAAAGAGAGATAGAAAAAACAATGATGAGAGAGTCATTGATCGGCTGCCTCCTGCAAGCCCCCAACTGGGGAACAGGCCCACAACCCAGGCATGTGCACTGACTGGGAATCGAACCTTAGTCTCCTGGATCCTAGGTCGATGCTCAATAGCTGAGCCACTCCCGTCTGGGTGACTCTACTCTCTTAAATAGTGTTTCCCAGAGTAAGGCTCTCTTGGGATATTAATAGTTGTTGAATTACNACTCTCTTAAATAGTGTTTCCCAGAGTAAGGCTCTCTTGGGACATTAATAGTTGTTGAATTACAAAAAAAAAAAAAAATTAAGTAGCTTTAGTAAATACTGGGTTAGTTTCTTTGCTGCGGGACTTCTCAGAGCCTTTCACATGCTGAAGTCCAATGTGAAGCTCTAAGAAGAGAATGAATGCAGTCCCAAACTCATGTGACCAAAGAACCCTATTTCAACAAGAATCCTGTAGGACTAACGTTCCTGACAACAAATTTTGGATGTTGCTTTTTTAACATGGGCTGAGCTCCCGCTGCTGCTTCTCAAGGGCAGCCCTGAATGAAGTGTCCACAGGCTGACATGTCTGTGGCGTAGACAGTCATGCCCTCTGCTNATGTGACCAAAGAACCCTATTTCAACAAGAATCCTGTAGGACTAACGTTCCTGACAACAAATTTTGGATGTTGCTTTTTTAACATGGGCTGAGCTCCCGCTGCTGCTTCTCAAGGGCAGCCCTGAATGAAGTGTCCACAGGCTGACATGTCTGTGGCGTAGACAGTCACGCCCTCTGCCGAGCAAGCTGTAGTAAGGGCGGCAGGATCCGGTGGGACCAGCCCCCTGCTGGTCACAGGTGTTGGAAACACCCCAACGCCTGGTGCTGCTGGGTGCTTTCCAGGCAGCAGTGGCAATAAAACTAATGCTAAGAACACCGGACCTGCTACCACCGCCTCTTCAGGCAGCAGGGAATCCTGGAGGTATAGTGATATCAGCACAGGTAGATTTTCTTGTTAGGCAATTACCCTGTGTGAGAAAGGCTATCTGTCTGGGCCTTCGATAAGAGGCCACTGGTTAAGACTCCCTGTCAAAGCCAGGCAGTGGTGGAAGAAACTCAGGAACTCAGTCCCCAAAGAGTCTGCTGAGCTTCCCTTGGGAGGGGCAGGCTGATCTTTCTCAGGCACCTACTGTGTTCTTGGCCCTGCCCTGTGAAATGAGGATTGGGCTCAGGGAGCTTCAGGAGGCTTCAGGGCCCACCCACTGGGCCTGGCTGCACAGGTGAGTACTTGGCTACCTATTGGAATTTTTGGGGCCTCCAAGCAGCATCCTGGCCCCCCAACTATCCCCTCATTCCTGCTGTCTACATTCCAGTTTTACCATTTTTTTCCTGTGGGCCATGAAAGCCACCTAAGAGCAAGATACTTTGACGTGTAAAAGAACTTTCACATTCACACGACATCCCTGGGAAACAGGTAAAGCAGGTGTGATTAGGAGCCAATAATGGGGTAGCATTTGCTGTGTCCACCACCGAGCTACATTCTGAAACTCAAAAGGTCTGAAAACCCCTCTGATTTCTTTCCCGTAAGGCTGACAGGACCTTTTTTTTTTTTGGTGGCAAAACTTGACCTTCACTGATTGGAGGTTATTTATAAACTACCCTACTTAGTGTAAACGGTCGTCCATTTTGCTGTGGAAGTATTAATGTGTTGGATTACAGACTGCTGTCAAGCCTCCACTGTGGGGTTAACTAACATATGGTACACATACCATACTACCTTAATAAAATAACAGAAATTCTGAAATCAGGATTCCCTTTGGCCCAGTATTTCAGATAAGAGGCTGTGGGCCTCACGTACCCACTCTGGATCCAGTATCTGAGAGGCTGGGGCAGAAAAGTGAACTAATTTGCCCAGTCACAAGACAGACACATGCAGAGCTGGGATTTAAACCCAGGATCTGACTGCCACGCACGAGCTTTAACCACTACATTCTACATTTAGAAATGGCCCAGAGAAGGTAAGAGGCTTGCCCAAGGTCACATAGCTAATAGGTGGCAAAAATCAGTATCTGATTCTGGGTCTTTGGACTCCCAAGTCCAGGGTTCTTTCCGCAGCATTTAGGAACCTGTAAGAAGAATAGGAAACAGTGCCAGTGAGGCAGGGTGCAAGGGTCTTCTAGGACCCAGCCCGGGTGCCAGGCCAGCTATGACTGTAATCAGGTGGTTTCCTTTGGCTAAACTGACGTATCCCACTGGGAATCTTAATTGTCCCAAAGCTATAGCTCCCAGAGCTGAGCTCCAAGGTTCCTCTGTGTGAAGCTTCTTGCCCAGTCCCAGGACTGCCCCTGGCAGTGCTAAGTGTTCTTGTGTAAAAGTCTTTACTTCTCTCCCACCCTGGTGCTAGGCCTTCATGCCACAGCTCCCGGCTCTTGTTAAAGGGGAAGGACTCTGTTCCCAGATCGAGGTATGGGTTGGAACCCGTTTTCCCTGTTTGCGTATGGATTAAGGTTGACCATTTAATCATCCACTCGCTCCTTTATCTAACAAACGTTTATTGAGCACCTACTATGTTCCTAGCACTGGCCTAGGCACATGGAATACAACGATGAAAATATAAGGTCCTTGCCCTCGAGGAGCTCACAGTCTAAACAGGGAGACAGGCATGCAGTAAAAATTCCAATTAGGTCATTGCTACAACAGAGGTTTGTACAAAGAGCCTTGGTGGCGCAGGGTAAGGAAGGTCAAGGAAAGGCTTCGCAGAGGAGGAAGCGTCTGAGCTGAGACAGGAAGGAGGGGGGAGAGTCCTTCCAGGTGAGCAGAGAGCAGGTGCAGAGCAGCGGTTCAGGTTCCTTGGGGCAAAGTGAACTGTGGCCTGGTACTGTCTGGTCAGACGCTTGTTGGCTTGAACACTGCGAAGGCAAGTGTGAGATCCAGAATGGGACCATCGAGTTGACTCTTCTCATTTTACAGATGAGGAAACTGAGGCAGAAAGGAAAGTAAATCTCTTCTTGGAGTTTCGAGATGACTTCTCTGGGGTAGAGCTGCCATCTCTTCCCGTACTATTCTGAAAGCACATGCAAAGTACAACAAACTGCGTTTGACATTATTTATGCCATAGAACGTTTACACATCAAGGTGGCTTTTAAATTCTGCAACTGTACTGTGCAGACGTGGTACTCAGCCTCTGGAGAGAAAAAGCTTATTGGATCAGACTTGCTAGAGACACAGAAATGGAGCAAATACACCATTCAACCAAAATAAAATAAAAACCATAAGAAATAGGACAACTAATTCACTGTTTGGATAATCTGATATTATTATTTGATAAACTGGTATTAATTTTCCTTAACCTTGGGATAAATCCAGGAGGGTCTAAATCCTGGTCACCTGAAGAAGGCCAAACTAATGTTTTTCTTCACACGCTACCCCAGCTCCAACCTCCTGAAGGCTTATTTCCCTGACATACAGGTAAAGTCATTCCACTGAGCGTCAGCTTCTACAAAACTCCCAGGTGGCAGGCGGTTTTGCCCAGTGTGAGGCGCGTCCTAGGCCATCAAGAGCACCTTAGCTCCCCTTAATGTTGGCGGCTCTGGTGTGATTTCCAGTTCTGGGATGAGACTGGGCCTGAGTAATCACGAATAACTTTGGGCTGGGAAGGTTGGGTATTTGAACGTCTACGCTTTTGAGCGGTAGATATACCCAGAAAACACATGGGGAGAGAAAAGTGGGGAGCGAGAAACATTAGTAAGTGGGGTCTTTGGCCTAGTGTTCTGTCTTTGCTGAGGACACTGTGAGAAAGACAGACTATATACAGAGGTGGACACTGTCAAACTGACATTCAAATAGCTGTGTTTCAAACAAAATGGAAGTACATACAGATCACAACAGGGAAAATCAAGCTCTGGTGGTTGGAACCAGACCTGGCCTGTCTCCATAAGGTTTCTAAGGGCCCCCTTTACCCTGGGTGTTGAGTTAGGGCAAATACTTTGTATCATTCCTATGCATTTTCCAGGTCTTTCCCCTTATATTCTGTTGCTTGGTTGATTTCTACACCAAGCTTTGGTTTCAATTCATTCTGCAACTCCATGTTGCTGATGAACTGCTCTCTGATCTACACACTCAGTACTTCCCTTGGCCCCTTATCTGGCAGAAGGCTCTGGGGCTGCCATGCAATCAGACTGGGCACAGCAGATGCTGGTACCAAACTGGCCTTGACCGTGGACCCTCCTAAAATCACAACTAGACACCATGCAAGTTTTCATGGGTGAAAAGCCTTCATAAATCTAGTACATCAAAAAACATTGACTTTCTAATGGGCACTCTAGCTAATTGAGACTTTTCTGTATATAAATGAACAGGTTTAGAAAACAGCCATGGCTCCTTTTTCAAAGGAAGCGCTTTTTAACATTGGTTGAGGCCATTCTGATGAACCTCTCTGTTGACCTGGAAGTCGACAGGTCTATCTCTGAGCACCTGGTGGTAAACGGCTGACTCGATGGACCTTGTTGTTTGTACAGTTCAACCGCTGCATCACCTCCCAGATGATCAAGTGGTTCAGCAACTTCCGAGAGTTCTACTATATCCAAATGGAGAAATCTGCTCGGCAAGCAATTTCAGATGGCGTCACAAATCCCAAAATGCTGGTGGTTCTCCGCGACTCAGAACTTTTTCGAGCTCTCAATATGCACTATAACAAGGGAAATGACTTTGAGGTAAGACCATAGACATGGGTCCCATGCAGTTGGAGTTTTAGAAAAGATCCCTTTCTGTGTCTGTCCTTAAGTCACCAAGAGCCAGGGCAGCCTGGGGCCAATCTCTGTCCCATCCACAAAGGCTACAGCCTCAGTATCTTTTCTTAGGCAACAGGTGGATGCTGCAAACTGAACACACAGTCAGTCTTCATTCTGAAACTTAAGCAGAGGTCTGCCAGGTGTTACACCATTTTAGACTTAATACCCTGTGATTATCAACTTACAGGAGGCCCGGGGCTAAATGCTGGGCTCAGTTGCAGCACCTAGTCTTGGCCCAAGTTTTCTTTACAACAGCTTCTGTTTATCATTTGGTTCTTACCTTTATTCTCACTTGAACAATTTTACTTGTGGGCCTTCCATGGCAAGTCATCCCAAATCCTTTCTGGAAATAATGAACAAACAATATTCAAGCTTCTTAGTCCTTTGGGGGTCTCTATGAAGGCACGCTGGTAGCACCTTGCAAGTAAGGCATCAGTAAAGGGTGAGCAAGTGGTCTACGTACCGTGGGAGAGAACTCCTAATCCAGACACACGTTTCCTTGCGTGCGGCTGACAGCTCCGCCATCCTGGCATCTTGTTCTGCAGGTGCCAGGTGTGTCTGGTCACCAACCACAGTCGCCTCTTCTTGCCTTTCTCACTTGACAGTGATCACAATGAGCAATTTATTGATACCTCCAAGAAAGGGAAGAATTGCTGGCATGCACTGGTCAGAAGCTCCATCAGAATGTGTTTGCAAACCTAAGCTGACCTGTGGTTAAAACGGACCATTCCTCCTGAGGCGTGTGGGGTCAGGATGTGTGGAAAGGGCAGCACTGCCACATCTTTCCAGGTGGGGGTGGTCACTGGGCATGCAGTGGAGGTGAGCCCCGGGCCAGGCTTGATCTGGAGGACCTGTGGGATGCCCCATCGATTATGGTGCCAGTCTGAGTGAGGTCCTAGAACATATTCTTTAGCCCCCCTCAACCTTGTGGTTGGTTTTAGAAGCAGGAATGAGTCCAAGTCCTGCGGATCCAGCCTGGGATGAGGTACGACAGTCATAAACTTGGGGGCACTCTTTTCCACGTTAGGCACTAAGGAAAAGCGTGATAACGCCTCTTTTGAACCACAGGTTTAACTTTAATCAGAGTCAGAGTTTCCAACTTACTAAAAATTTCACCCATGAGTGGAATTATCTCCTGCTACAAAGGGAGTGTCCTTAGGCTTTCTCCCAGGGCTGTCTCATTGGTACCATCACTTTAAAGTTTGCATCTGATGAGGGCGCAGGGGATTCCTAGGGCTGCAAGAATTAGGGGCCCGTAGAGCAGGGATGCTCTCATCAGCCCACCTCCCAGGAACAGGCGGCAGCAGGCAGTGAGGTCTGCATGGCTCCCGCGCTTCACAGCCTCATGTCTTCTCCTTCTTGTGCGTCTCTTTGGGAACGCAGGTCCCAGATTGCTTCTTGGAGGTCGCCAGTTTGACGTTACAGGAGTTCTTCAGGGCTGTCTCCGCAGGGAAAGACTCAGATCCTTCCTGGAAGAAACCCATTTATAAAATTATTTCGAAGCTGGACAGTGACATCCCAGAGATATTCAAATCTTCCAGCTATCCCCAGGAGCTGCTTCGGAATTAAGATCCCACAAAGTGAGGAGCACCTGGCCAGGGTTTCCTGGGTTTGTCTTAAATGGCAGTCAGGACAGCTGTGGTAATATAAAAAGGGCATAGGGATAGAGCTCCCTTGCCCCCAACAGGAACTATTGCCATTTCTGATCATTTCTTTCCTTTTCCAGAATCATAAGAAGTTTAACCTTAAGTGTAAAATATATCAACCAAGTGTAATGGTGTGTTGGTAGCATATTGTTAAAGGGACACAACAGTTTTTTGGAATCAGAAGACCTAAGTCCCCATCCTACTGTTTCCAAGTGTTATGGCCCTGGGTACTTGCAGGTATTCTCTGCATCTGTAAAGTGAGTCCTGAAGTACTCTGTGAAATGTTGCTCACTACGCAAGTGTTCCTTCCCCCCCCTTGGCTTTCAGGTAAGGTTATCTTAGTTGGCTTGTCTGTTGTTGTTTTTACAAATTGCTGGTTTTAGTGACCTATTTATCAAGCTCCACCTATTTGCTAGACACTAGCAAATACGTTATCTTTAAGTTTTTCTCTGAAAAGTAGATATTATCTTCATTAAAAAAAAACAACAACAACCAGAAGTTTTAGAACAGTGATGTAAAAACTCGCCAAAGTACAAGGCTAGGGCATTTGGTTGGATGGGAAGGCCTGAGTGTGGAGGAACCCAAGACCTTCGGATGCCAGATCCCATCCTGACCACCTCCTGCTGCCTGTCATGATCTTAAGCAGGCCACCATCTCCAGTGAGCATGCAGCACAGACGGGGGCACTGCCGTCCGGCAGCCCCTGGCACTTCGGAGTGCTTCGCCACCCAGGATTTCCATCAATCATTCCAGCAAGCCCAACACAAACTTTCTGCAGGATGTGAGTGTTGCTGTTCAGTCACATTTGCGTGCTGAAGAGTTATCCTTGGGACAGCCCACATTGTCTCTAGTTGACCGATGCAGTTGACGCCCAACCTCCTATGTGCAGAGGAAGCTGGACCTCAGAATGCAAAAGCTAGAAAGGGCCTTAGGAGATCATCCCGCCCACCCTGCTTGAATGAGGAAGGAGGAAACCGAGGCCCACGGGAGACCTGCGTGGCCTGGGCGCAGCCTCCCAGACGATGAACGGCACAGAGGGACACATACAGCATCACTCACAGAAACAAACTCCCCCACGGCATAAGGAAATTACAGTCCATGGTCAACTTTTCAGAGATAAAGGAATTCATGAAATCAGCTTTTTTCTCTCTACCGGGCCCAATACAAGTTGTGACGCACTCTGAGGATATAGGCAAGTCATCTGCCGGGTCGAGTAACTGCGTCCGTCCCGAGACAGGCAGAATCAAGTCTTTGGACGCTCTGCCCAAGGTGCGCAGGCCGGGGCGGGGACACCCGGCTCGGGCTCTGTTGTTTGATTAGGGGGTGCCTGTGACCTCATTAGCTTATTCCTTTCCCATCTACGTAAAACGAGTTTTCATATTCAGTTACCCACTGCCTTGACTTTTCGGGTGAGCTGGATTAGGTGAGATAAATCCCTAAACTGTTGCCAGATGTATCAACATGAAAAAGTCTGAAAGATGACTTTCCTTTGCATGTTCATCTACTTTGAACAAAACAAACATACGCAGCCCAAAGGAATCTTCTTGTTCCAAGGTTACTTTGAGGCACCCTTCAATACATCCAGTGGCACTCAGGTCACCTTTGCTCTGTTTTCTCCCACGATGTTCCCTTTACAAAAGTGAAGGAATCTGCCAAATCTGAGTTTTAAAAGCAGAGAAGCCCTGAGCGCCCGGAGCGCTGGCGATCAGTGACCTGTGTTTGCAGACAGCAGAAGAGCCCACTATGCAGAGTGATATTACATAGCTATTTAAGACTTTCATGGGAAACAATTCCAAGTTCCCATGATTGTCTGATACGGAGCAGCCATTTTCTGACCCAAACCTGAAATTCATTAGTGTGTGTTTTAAAGCCTGAGCCAAGCCACCTCCAGGGCAGTGAACCTTGTCCCAGGGACCAATTAGGTGAACTGTACAAGCTCGAATTGAAAACATTTGTGTCCTGCAGTCTTTCCAGGAACTGTTTTCTAACCACTGAGCTAAACACAGAAGAATGTATAAATATACATGTTCTGCCAGCAGAAGTCTATTTTATTATATTTTTCTGTTTCTATCAAGTATATCTCTTTTTGTTGGGAACACATTTTGAGTGTAAGCTGGGCTGGTTATTGTCCTTCTAGCAGCCGTAACATCGCCAAGGTCTGGTCATTCTTTCCATTAAGTTATATGTGGGCATTATGCTCTCCCGAATTAGACATGTTCAGAGTCTGGTGGAAAACTGCATAATTGTCTAATACAGTACTTCAGTGGTGGACTGTGTGTTTTATGATGGTGGCACTATTTAGGAGTTAATGCCCAATTATCAATTAAAAGCAGGCAGTTAATTGATGTTCCATGCAGGAAAAGGTTTATTAGGAACCTTATTTCAAACATGGTATCATACAGTATACACAGCTCCAAATTGGACTTATACAGTGAAGAGGCCAAAGGAACCTCCTGGGTCTGTAAGGAGTGCCCACACCGTTTCCCTTCCATCAGAGAGAGGGCAGAGCGGAAATGGCAGGGTAACACGGCGCTCTTTCATGAACACAGGCCCACACTATACAGAGGTCCACGGGTCCTTTTTAAAAACTTGGTTTTAATGACAAAATATAGAAGCCTCAGAAAAAATAATTTAAAGATTTCCATAACAATTTTACATGTGCGTTTAGAAAATATTTCTTTTAAAAATCCTTATAAAATTAGCTAAAGATTTTGTAATCAGTTTCCTGGATGAGGTCTTATATGTTCTAAATTGTCATAATTTTTCTTCCTGGCTTTTTTCTGTAGTTTTGACCCTTAGCTCTATAAAGCAGATCAGTTTGGTAATACATTCATTCAGAAGAAAATAGAAGCCCAGCCGGCGTGGCTCAGCAGTTGAGCATTGACCTAGGATCCAGGAGATCAGGATTCGATTCCCGGTCAGGGCACATGCCCAGGCTGCAGGCTTGATCCCCAATAAGGGACGTGCAGGAGGCAGCCGATCAATGACATTCTCATTATTGATGTTTCTATCTCCCTCTCTCCCTCTCACTTCCTCTCTCTGAAATCAATAGACATTAAAAAAAATAGAAATTTAAAAATCCTTTGGTGTTTTTACACAAACTGTATTAAGCATTTGCATAAATTTCACATAAAGCACAATCATTTTTTCAGGACTGAGAAATTTAGAAAAGAATGAGATAGAATGCTGGCTGGTAGAGATAAAGAACACGTCGACTAATATAGGTTATGGTTCTATCAGGCTGATGACTAAATTATGCCTTGGTGGGGAAATAAGCTTATGACAATATGGCAAATATATACTTCTTAGGAGCGTATAAAAATATTCTTGGTTGGATTTAAGCATATATCATATACACTGGAAAGAATGAGCTCTGATTACCTATTTGACAGTATTAACGATGCGCCCTGTATCTCTGAGGTAGATCATGGCACCTACACTGTATGTATTAAGTGCTCAACTGTGGAAAAAGATAATTCATCAAGAGTATTTCTCAGGGGTAGACGATTCCTATAGAGCAAGAAGAAGTTCTTATAGACAACATGAACCTCAACAGTGTAACCAAGTGCCCAGGAGTTGAATGCTCAGTCGTATTTTAACCCCCCGAGGTTAGCCTCCAGTCTAGAGGATGGAAACGTCGGCTGCAATCTGAGGGCAGGGCTAGACGATGGAAGCGGTACAGCAACGTCCGCCCCCAACCTCAGCAGTTCCACATGTCCGTCTACGCACTGAGGAGTCTTCTGGGCTTATTTTGTTTCTCACAATCTCACCCCTTCAGGCTCACAAACTTGTTTCGTCATTTCCAAATTCTCCAGAGTCAACCCTCAAACAAACGTCATGTCCAAGTCATCCCTTAGAAAATCCCTCTTCTCCCATTTACTGATTTCTGCAGCTCAGATTCCTATCTTCTGGAAAACTGCTTCTGGCCAGGAAATTTGGCCTTAGGCAAGAATGTGACTCTGCCCTCATGTTTGTCCATTTTATCCTCAGTTATCTGATTTGCTGCCAGCACCTCCCCCTCACCTTTCCTAAGCAGAGTACTGCGGGTAGGTGCATGAGGTGCATGAGCTGCGGAAAGCATGTTTTCATCCTGGCGCAAGCACCTGGGATCTTTGCAAGTCACTTACTCTCTTGGCCTCAGCTTTCCCATCCGTAAAATAGGGATAATAAAATAGCACCTACCTCATAGCACTGTTCTAAGGCTTAGATAAGACAATACAGGTGACACTCCTAATGCAAGTATATGTTCAGTAAATGTTAGCTACATTATTACTCAGCAGTCATAAACTGTTAGCAAAGCCATGAATTTGTACTGTTTACAGTGAAAAGAATAATTTATTAGCTTAAGAACGGCACTGATGTGTGACATTACTGATATAAAACATATTCTGGCCCTGGCTGGTATGGCTCAGTGGATTGGGGCATCTGTCCCATACACCAAAAGGTGGCTGGTTTGAATCTGGTCAGGGCACATATCCAGGTTGCGGGTTCGATCCTGGTTGGGGTGCATGCAGGAGGCAACCGATTGATCTCTCTCTCACATAAATATTTCTCTGTCCCTTCCTCTCTCTCTCAAATCAATTAAAAAGATAGTAATAAAACATTCTGAATTTCATTTTTACTATAACCATGAAGTAGCATGCACTAATACCTGCGAAACGACAGTACAAAACTTAGCTTTAAACTGATACGATACTGTTTTCTGAGACGTAGCACCCAGCTTAAAAAAAAATGACTTGTGCTATAAACCCTGTGTGCATCCCTTCATTGACTATCATAATCCTATGTTGACATGTTTACTTGACACAACTATTATTGCTATTTGTTAGTTGCTTGCTAAAACACTGACCTGCTTTTGCTAAAATATCTTTGTAGCTGTTAAGAGGCTGGTTGTTGCTTTCAATGGAGTGGGTGTGGAGGGGAAACATGCTGACACAGCCCTGGTTTTCCTAACACAGCATCTAAAAACTATGTCCAGGATTCCATTTCCTTAAAGACAAAGCTTATTTTTTTCATTGAAAATGATCTGGCCTCTTTTCTGGTTCTTTTCATTTTATGATCATTAATGTTGACTATCTCCCTCCTCTGCTCTTTCATGAATGTAGGTTGGTCATTACCTTTTCCAGAATATTTAAGGCTTTAAATGTTTTTTGGCTACTGATTTTGAATAAATTGACTTTTTCAAACAGTCTTTATGAGGCAATGGGACTACTGACTTATTGTTTTGCTAAATTCTTGCTCTATTAAATCCCTAACAAACAAAACCCCACAATTACACCTGGCAGAATGTATTATTATTATTGTTGTTGTTATTTTTTTAGAGAGAGAGGCAGGGAGAAACATCGATGTGAGAAACATCATTTGGCTGCCTCCTGCATGCCCTCTGCCAGGGATCGAGCCCACAACCCTGGCATGTGCCCTGACCGGGAATCGAACCAGCAACCTCTTGGTGCACTGGATGATGCCCAACCACTGAGCCACACCAGCCAGGGCAGAATGTATTCTTTATAAATCCCTCTTTATAAAGCCGCTTTTGCTCAAGATTACCACCTTGGTGTTTAGACATTTCATTTCTCATCACGTATCCCATCACTGCAGCAGGGCTGAGCTTACGGACCCTGGACCAACTAGAACATCTCCAGCTCTCTTTTTTCCTATAGAACTCTTGTCAGAAATGGTATCAGAAATAAGAGTTTTTGAGGAAGACAGTGGGGTGCAGGTAGTGTAACAGAACAGTTTTGCTGTATTATAGATTTATCAGCAAATTCTGAGAAAAGAGAGCTTAATAAAACCAGACTTATACACCTTAGTTTTTATATACCAAATGCAATGATAATTCAAATCCTCATGCCATGTGAATGGTAGATATGATTATGTATCCTTAAGCTCTGGAGACAGTAATTACCTAAAAAAGTGAGGCGGATTTCAATATGTTGACAATGCTTAGAATATGCTATTAAGAGACTGTCCCCATGTTTTTATTACAGAATCATGCCTATTCACTTTCCACACATCAGGGTATTTCTCTGGGGGGCTGACAGTCTTCTCACTGTTTCAAGAACTAGACAGATGCACTAGTTTTTAGAATATTATTGAGCAAGTCTCAAATGTTCTAAAACTTGACAGAAAAAGAACTTCCTAGTATTCAGTCCATTGCTGTTGTGCCAGAATTGGTGAAATCGCCCCCCAAAATGAAGATCGATTATAGACCTTTATGCTTTGGGTTATATGTACATACACTTATCATTTAACTTCCTTCCAATAAAGTGACCATGATTTACCTCCTCAAAATGCAGTTATTGAGAAACACAGCTTTTAATGATGATCCCATGAAAATAAGACTAAAAAGCCACTTTATGTGGCAAAAGCTATGCTCCCTGCCCCTCAGAGTGGCAGTCCCAACAATACAGATGCCTGAATCCCAGTTGGTGATGAGACTACAAGCCAAGTGACTCATTCCATATCCCTTAACAGCTTTTCAAAATCCCACGTGGAATACTGTATCTTGATTGTGGTGGTGGTTACACGAAGCTACACATGATAAAACTGCATGGAACTACACACAGACTTGAGTACTTATAAAACTCATGAAATCCAAATAAACCCTGGAGAGCACACCAGTGTCAATTTCTTGCTTTTGGTACATAACTCTATTTATACAAGACGTTACTATAGGGAAGGCTGGGTGAAGGATACATGAGGGATTCCCTGTACATTTTATGGGGCAACTTCTTCTGAATCTATAATTATGTCAAAATAAAAAGTAAAACAAACATAAAACCCCAACCCATGTA